TGAGTATTATGACTAAGCTCTCGGTGTTGAAGTCGATCTTAATCCCCATGCTCATTTACGGTCATGAGTCATGTGCCATGACTAAAAAGCTTCGATCCCGGGTAGAAGCGGCTAAAATGGGCTTTCTGAGTCATGACGCTTCTCGACATAGTCCGGAGTACCGAAATCCGCGAGATTCTTAATGTACAGCCGCTGCTTCTTCTGATCGGGAAATCACATTGGTTTGGGCACGTGCTGCAAATGCCTCCAAAAAGTAAGGCGAAGTAACTACTACTTGACTAGCCGACCGATAGATGACCCTCGAGACGGCTGAAATTCACCTGGTTCGAGTACATTGAGGATGTCTGTTCTAAATTACGGTTGTCTTCTGCCGAAGCTGAGATTCTGGTCCAGGATCGGGAACGTTGGAAATACTTTTTGACGCGCGTCTCTCTCCGCGACCAGCATGGAGAAATCATGGAAAGTGAACAGTAGCTCAATCTAAATGATCGCTTTGCGCATTTATTATTAAGACGTCAAAAACAAGAGTCTGTTTTGAAACCAATTCCGAAAGGAGTTGAGTTTGGAATAACAGAAGATAATAGATAACAAATTGGTACAGTTCCAAACACTCAAACTGTAATTATAATATGCGTTTATAAAACTATGTATAGTCATACGCAACAGTTGCATAAAATCACTGAATTACTCCTCCAGTTCCAAGCATCGTTTTCACTATGTGACGCGCAATCACTATGCGCTGTATCTGCGACGTGCCCTCGTAAATCTGGTATATCTTAGCATCCCGCATAAGTTTCTCCACAGGATATTCTGAGTTGAATCCGTTGCCTCCGAAAATCTGCAACAAACATGGTATCATAGCAGAGAAACAAGTGTCATGTACATATGTTTGCTAGCGATTTAAAGAGCCACAGTGGATAGATTCTGACTAAACGAAAGTAAACGTCAAAAAGCTGATAATTCCGAGAAATTACGTGTTTTCATTTCCTGTCCGGTAAGCTATAGTTGATGCATGATCGATATTTTAAAATGAAATTCGTTCACAGTAGATTTCAGTGAACAAAGAGCTATTTTAAGATTCAGTGAAGTATTCACATGAAGTGTAAGATTTAACTAAGATATATGACAACTGAAGCGTATTCGGTGTGACAAAATAATTTACTCCATTATGATTTATGCACAAAAATGTTTATGTATCAAATTAAACCGGTAATCTGCAGGTAACCAAACTTATTAGTTGGCTCTAGAAATCCGACAAGAAAGATACAGCAGTGTTTTTGTTATTCTGCATTTTAGGAACATGTTGAACGTTACAAATTTTAGAAACAAAAATAAACTTGTTGGATATATTTCACTACAGTAACCGATACACCTATAACGCTGGAGATAAGCGAAAGAAGGCCGTAGTATCTTATTTATTCAAAGAACTCTTCCTGCTTTACTGGGCTTGCTAGTATCGGGTAATAATCTGAGCAACCCTCGCTTGCAAGCAGGTTTTCTAGAAACTGCGGCTAAACGTGTTATAGATGAAGTTCCTCAGCAGGGATGATAATATGAGAACAGAGAGTTTCTTGCACAACGGTAGTCACGACAACATATTCGAGATATGCTCGCTTGCGAACAAAAGTTTTTTTCAGGTTAAACGATCATGAAGCCACCATAGCACCTCAGATAAGGCTCAGTTAGAAGACTCACTGACAGTGGGTGCTCATAGGCGGAAATTTCAACATCTCATCATTCAGAGAGAAAGAGCATGGGTTAATGTGTGAGACCGCACGGCAAGGCACCAATCAGGCACAATTGGACTCCCGTAAAGAAAACACCATTTTGAACTTCTGCCAATCGAAGATATTTTATTCAGGTGTGGACATCACGACGCGCGCTCATGTCAGATGTTGTGATAGAACCTATCTGAATGACAGAACCAGTGAATTGTAACCTTTCAGCGAAAGAGTGGCAATTATACGACTGAAGTTACGAGAGGCTAAATTTTTGACCTTATGTGCCCAGTTCAGATGGAGAATAATTGCCATTCCTGGAGAAAATTGATGAAACTTTGTACGAAGTGCCGACTACGGAATCCATTATTCTCACTTCAATGCGTATGACGGAGTAGACGCTGAAAAATGGAACGGTGTGATTGGAAATAACGGCCTTAGCGACCTCAAATACAACGGTATGAAGTTGTCGCAGTTTTATGCAAACAACGGACTGTCCATTATGCGCACTTCGAGCATCGAAAAGTGCATAACAGTATACCTAGTACAGGGAAGCTTGTGCACAGAAGTCGATGATCGATTTGATATTCGTATCGTCTGACTTACGACGCTCTGTAACAGATATTAGCGTTAAGAAAGGCGCAGAGCTGTCAACCGATCACAACCCTTCGTTGGCACCCTTCACTGTAATTTGTGGAGAACCATGCTGAGACCTGGCTGCAGAGGCAACCAGAACATCAAATGGAAAACATTATCTTTGGCGAATGCGAAAGAAAAAACTTACAAATAACATGGCACGATGGTTTCAACAGATCCCTGTGATGACGACTGATGTGGAAACCGAGTGGAAGCTCTTTAAGAGCTGCTTATCTGTTGTGCTGCCGAATGATGCGGTTTAAAAAACAAACTGGCTATCGTCTGGAGATCGGAAACGAAGTTCTTTGTGAAAATAAGAGGTTTACTGGCTGTCAGTGAGAAGGCTGAATTCAAGAGGTTGCTTGGACGTAAAGAGCCTTCACCTCGAATGCCGCAGGAAAAGTGGTACAAGGCGGCACGGAAAGTAGCGGCCAAAGCGAAAGCTCATGCCTGGGCATAGTTCGGTGAGATGCTTAAGTCCAATTTCCAGATGGCACACAAGACATTCTGCGAGAGCATCTGCTGCCTGCGAGATAGAAAAAAAAGGAAATCTGGGAGTTTCAACGGACAAGTCCGGACGCCCTCTTATCAGTGAGAAAGACATACTTCAGCGAAGGAAAGAGCATTTTGAGGAATTTCTTAACATCGAGCAACCGCAGGAAGACTTGGCTGAAGAGCAGCATCCAAGAGATACTAGTTTTTCAGTAGATAAAGTCCTGAAAGCTGTAAAAAGCTAGAAAAATGGCAAGGCTGCAGGAATCGATGAAATCCGCCATGAAATTCTTAAGATCTAGGTGAACAAAGCACGCTGTTGATAGGACGTGTCTGTTAAGCTGCAACGGCTACGGGGAAGAATCAGTAGACTGAAGGGTGGAGATTGTAATATCCCTACTCAGAAATGGAGACAATAGAAGTGTTCCAATTATTAGAGCAACACGCTTTTGAACCTCCCTGGAAAAGTTTATGCAACGGTGTTGAAGGTGCTGCGAAATAGTTGCTCTAAAATCTAAGAAGAACAATGTGGATTCAGGTCCGACCGAGTGCCTTTGACCATGCAATTCCCTTACACCATTGTGTACAAAAATCACGAGAGTTCTCTCATTCGTATTATTTGTGCTTTGCTGCCTATGACGGATCATGCCTATGCGAGCATGCAAACATGGGATCCAGTGTCAGTTGTTGCAAACCATCCAGTTATAATATGTTGATACTAGGTGCTGCGTCAAAGTAATTAGACTTAAGTTAAGATCTTTCAGTTTTTGAACTGATCTCTCTGCGTTCTGCCAAGGCTACGTTCTGATCCTTCTCCTGTTTGTTATACAAGGATACAGTAGTCAGACGTAGCCTAGGCTATGAATGTACCAGCATGGGAGATGTGGAGCTGAGATGTTTGGTGTTAACAGACGAACTTTTTTGTCCGAATCTTCTGAAACTGATCTTCAGCGCTCGCTGTCAGGGTAACAGTCGAATGCAATGTGGTCCTCATGCGTGTGAACATATCTAGAACTAGTAGCGTTGTGCTTTCTCGTTCACGCAACCGTTGCGATTTGCAGATAAATGGAGAAGCAGTGAAGCAGGTTAAAATCTCACGTTTCTCAGAGTACTGTTTACTGGTGATGGAAAACTGGAGGAGAAGATCGACCAACGAATTGGAATGGCCAACGGAATTCTAACTGAACCTGCCTTATTGCTGTTACTAAAGCAGAGCTGAATCTAAGGACTAAGCGATTTCCGTTTAAGTCGATTTTCATGCAGATGTTCATCTACGGTCATGAGTCGTGTACTATGTATGAAAAACTTCGATACCGGGTTAAAGCAACTAGAATTGGCTTGTTGAGAATAATCGCTGGGCTGTGTTGTCCAGAGTTCAGATATCTGATTGAATCTTGTTGTACAGCAACTGATTCTCCAGACTGAGAAGTTACAGCTGCAATGGTTTGGGCACGTCTTACGAATGCTTTCAGAGAGGAAGCGAAACAGACTGGCAGTTCAGCCCTGGTGATGCTGCGGTCTGTGTAGTGAAATGCGTGGCATTAGACTGTTTACCATCTACTGTCTTTGGTGCCCTGAACCATGAATCATTCAAAAAACTGTGTTTATGAGTATGGGCTCAGAATTTGAAACCTGAAGTATTATTTAAAACTTAGCTACGCAAGAAACTTAAAATTCTCTCTCGAGTCGACTCAACCGACGGAGGATTCGGACTACAGAGAAACCTTCTCAAGCTAATACACCCTCAGCTGGAATGTATTAGTTAGGTTTTAAACGGGCAACCTATAAACGATGTTAGTTTACGGAACTGCATCAGAAGTTAGTTTGGCTCCTATCCATTAACTCGAGAACCTAATGAACAGAACGAGTCATAAATAACTTAGTAATACTTTCCATCGTGCATAGCTGTTTTGTGCAGTGCCTTTCTGTAGCGTTCAAAACTGAGGAAGCCATCCTGTTATGATGAGAGGGAGAGTTACTTAGAGAAAGTTGATAACTCCTTAGTTTCTGATGACACGGCTTCTATGATACATACCTCATTGCTGGTCAAATGCCAGTGTTATGGTTTTAATAACCAGTTTTTACCACTAAATCAAGAAGACAGGCAAAGCAAGTTTCGTATTAAACTCTAGTAATCGAATTTAAGAGGCAGTTTTGGCGAAATGATAGGATAGGAGCTAAACAATTAGGATATATGGCAAATCCAGCGGAATATGCATTATGTGCGTGAAGATGATTACCTTTGATAACAACTAAAACTGCATTAAAATTGTCATTCTGTTTGCAGCTGCAGCCGATAGATTGAGTGATTAAAATTTCTAAAATGAGTATGGTTGCCATGTAAAATATTCATCGAATTCCCATGTCAAGTCGCGTTGTTAACCGAACAGTGATACAAGTCGTGATAATACGTGTAAATCGTACCTGAACTGCATCCGTAGCACATTTGTTGGCGATGTCGGCGGTATAGGCTTTTGCTATTGAGGAGTAGTAGCTAGACAGACGACCTTGCATGATTTCTGATGCTGCTTTGTAAACCATCAGTCGTCCTGTTTCGATGCCTATGGCCATCTCGGCAAGCATGAAAGCGACCGCCTCGTGCTAAACTAGAGAATTTGTAGCGTTCGAAATCAGGCAACTATGCTTTAGCTTTGGCGAATAAAACAGTGAATAGAAACCTGAACACCTGAAGGTGCCCTACGCTTTGACTCGAACTTGATGTGCGCTTGTACTATTCAAGAGGCAAGAAGCATAAGAATGTTTGTAACCACTCGGATGTCAGTCTCGTCAGTCTGTGTTTGATAGATGCCTTGTGTAACACCTCCCTTTCAAGGAGCTTGCGATGCTGATGTAAGAGTGGATACATCTAGGCAGGACTGTCTCATTTATGAGCACGATATATTAGTTATAAAGTAAGTACAGCGCATAATCCTTTTTTCCTTCCCGTACACACATATATAGTGTACCATAAATATGCGAAGAATGCAGGAGCCTAGACGCTTTAATGGCCACCAGATTGAGAACAAAATGTTTTCAGGAAAAGACACTGAATGTTGTCAGTGAAAAGATAGATATTAGCATCACATTAACAGCTTCGTGAAAATGGTATTTTGAGTCATAGGTGCGCGGGTGGCCGATATCCCAATTGTTGAAACATTTCCTTCTTAATGAGTGTAAGTCGTGCTGCATAAGCCCATGCAATTATTGAATAATTACGATTCTGGAAAATCTTTTTTTCTTGCAGACATCATGATAAATCGAAGGCATTACTCAGTCTGAAAATTTGAACTGCAGAATATAGCTGGCTCATTATAAGGATGTTTTGCGCATTACTAGACTTATATTCCGTCTAGAATTTTGCATCAGTAGAGCTCGACTGAGAATTGTGTGAACTTTTCAAACTTAAACTGGCGTCAGGAAAATATGGATGTTTAAGGAAACTCGCCGGTTTTGCCGATTTTGTAGCCGGAAGAAAAAATTGTACCTGAACAATTGGAACTCCGAAAGCTTTCCGCTCCAGCGCGTATTTTGTCGCCTCGGCCAAGCATCTCCATGATAAGCCAAGTGCTCCTGCAGCAACCTGAAAAATACTGTTTATAAATATAAATGTTCAAGCCACATCGGTCAAAAAATTAATATTCGTCAACAGAGTTAACACATTCGTTCGATCATCCACTGTACAAGTATATTTTCATTTTTACAAGGACAAAATTGCTCAAGAATTGAAACACCGTACCATCGGTCGAGTTGTGTCAAACGCCTGCATCGCTATCTTGAAACCCTTTCCTTCTTCGCCAAGAACATTCTAAATGGCAATTACACGTGAACGAATGATATCGCAATTATAACGCACGTAAGCTTAGAAATTAATATGAGTAAATGTTTTGTTGTTGAAATATTCTTTTAAGCTAATATGACAGAACAGAGTTAAGTTACATAAAGAGTTATTATGATGCAACGTTGACATGAGTTTTGTTTCGTCCAAGCCTGATTTGGTTACTGGCGTGTTTATTGAAACCCGTCTACGCATAAGCAAAATTTATTATCGTTGCCTTATGGATGTCATAAACAGGTATCAAGGAACTTACATTCGTTATACTATAGGCTTAGAATTGAAAAGGCCTGTAAAATGTATCGATTCAATCAGTCAGTCAGTTTTAACCACCCATTGCCCTTTTAGGTCGAGGTAACTGACGCATTAGTGCTTTTAACCTTCTCGATTTTGTGCGACGGTTTGAGCTTCAACAGAAGTCCTTCAGAACACTGTACCCTGGTAATTCTTGGCTGTTCGCGGGGTCCGCGGGCGGTTGGTTCTGCAAGCAGCTGCTTCGCCTGCCTTTCTGGACGCATTCTCAAAACGTGTCAAAATCAACGCAGCTGTGACATTAGTCTGGAAAAGTAGCGGCTATACACCAGGACTTGAATTCCGAATCCTGTCGAAACTCGTGAACCCAGCGATTGGTCTCAGGAAGCTCACTGCAACCGCTTGTACCTGAGATCGAAGGTTTTGAGTCATGCGCCATGACACACGTAGGTCAGCATGGCGATGAAAATCGATTTAAAAACAGGCAGTTTAGTCTTTGTACTCAGCTCTGCTTTAGTCCAACTGTTCAGACTAGTTCATGCAGAACTCCGCTGACGATTTCCATTCACTGTTCGATTTTTTCTTCCCATTTTCCATCACTAGTTAACATGACCCTGATGTACTTGAACTTCTCCACCTGCTACGCTGCCTCTCCTGTTATTCTGAAAAGAGCAACGGCCAGGAGAACGAGGAAGCACTAGGGCTTTTCGTTTTAGATGCGTTCACACGCATGCCAGCCAGGTCGCACTCGGCTGCGAACCTTTCCAGAGATCACTGCGGATCAGTTTCAGAAGATGCCAATAAAACATGGTCGTCTACAAACAGCATATTTTTCGTCTCCACATCTACGCTGTTCACTCGTCGCCTAGAGATGTACTGATTACTGTCGTAATTTGTAGCAACTTCGGTGACGTCAAGAAACAACATTTTAGATCCAACAGTTTAATGGCTACACGATGACGGCTTCTTTCCTAGGTTGAACTCAGATGAAAGGCACAAAATACGGGAATTCATACAGCCCTTAGTTACATGATATGCAGTCTGTATTTCTTTAAATCTGACTCCTAACCAAAGGAATGCACGAATTTTAACAACAGAGTGCAACTCAACCTTACGAATTCAGTCGTAGAAAAGATAAGAGATACCCATGTGGATGAACAAATTACAATTATTAATCTATTCGATTCCACTACCCTGTTAGCCACGATGTCGCGCAGGGAGTTAGTCTCTAATGCTGAATTTCCTTGACAGATCGGAGCAGCATATGCAGTCCAATAAAAATGAGTTGGTGAGGCTGTTCATTGTGATTTGTCGTTAGGACAAGAAGTGTAATCTAGTATTACCCAGTAACGCCCCATGTTCATCGCACTCCATTTTTAACCCAAAAATATTCTGGAACCACGTGATAGCCGAAACGTTTCTACGTATATGGAACATGTTTCTAGATATCAGTCCGAAATAGACGGCAGTAGTACCACTGTATGGCATGTCAGTAGGGAAAACGTGGCAGATTATGAAAAACAAGTTGCATAACAAGGAGTAATTTTCGAATCAAACCATGTCGCTACCGAAATTTTCTATTGCTTTTCTGCACGTCTGTAGGCAACCAACAAAGCTAGGAGCAACTGTAGACGCAAGATAAAAATTGAAGGCGAATGGTTTTCAACTTCTCGAAAGATTATACAGACTCAGCATCAACTTAAACCTGGTTTGGAAAAAATAAACCTAAACCTGGTTAACAGTTAAATTCTACTGCCCACGTTCAAGCCGGTGTTATCGTTCTGATAGAATAGAACTTCGCCGAAAGTATCACTGAATACAAGACAAATGACAATCCTCTGACTAAGGTTGCAACAGGCGAAAGCAATGACCTTGTTACTGGTTTATACACCCATTTCAGGGGGAGAATAGGAATTCTTTATGGAACAAGTAAAAACTGCTCTGTACGAAGGGCGGCCTATGGAATCCATCATTCTGATGAGCGATTTCTATGCACATGTAGGAGCAGATGTTGAAAGGCGGATAAGTCGTGATTAGAAAGTACGGCAGTAACGACGTCAACAACAACACATGAAGTTGTTTCGGCTTTGTGCAAACAAGGGTCTATCTATTATGAACGCATTTTTAAGCATCAAAATGTGCAGTAGTGTATGTAGTATAATGGAAGCATCCGCACAGAAATGTACGATCGATCTAATGATCGTATCGTATGCACTGCAGTAAATGTTTGCGTTAAGAGAACCTCAGAGATGACAAGAAGTCATCACGTTGCTGGCAGCCTCCGCTGTAAACAAAGGAGTACCATACGAAGAACTGGTAGCGGAAACAACCATTTAATCAAATGGGAAGCATAATCTGCTGGTACGGGAGTTAAACTTGAAACAATATAGCAAGATGGTATGGACAGATCCCAGCGATGACGGCTGACGTGAAAGCCGAGTGAAAACTCTGAAGAGTAGCTTACCTGGGGCTGTCATCGGATGTTACTGTATAAAGTGGGTTAGCGTGCCATCTCAGCATATAAAAAAAACGAACTTCCTGGCGGACACGCGATGGCCAACTAGGTGTCAGCGAGAAGAGGGCTGCATTTAAAAGCGGCTTCGAATAAAAAAGCCGTTAACTTGAATGTAGTACAAAGAAGCGCGCAAGGTGGTAGTGAAACCAGTGGCCAAAGAGTAAGGTATTTTTGGCAAGTTTGGCGAGGTGCTTGAGACGAAATCACAGTGGGCAACCAATGTATTCTGGCAAGCCATCATCCGCCTCCAAGATGGAAAGAAGGGCATTCTGAGGATTCAGAAAGACAAATCTTAGCAGGTCGAGGAAAGCAGACCTCGGCCATAGTGAGAATACTCCAAGGAACTACTTAACCCAGAGCAACCGCAGGAAGATTCATGTGACAAACAGCAGGCGGCAGATATTACTCTTTCAATAGACGAAATCACAGAAGCTTGAAAAGTGACAAGGTTGCTGG